TAAACGTTAGTGGAGAAAAGGGAGTGAATCCGTGCCGGGTTGCGCTGATGACGTTGTCTGCCCGAGGCTATTGCTGTGATAGTGGAGCCATGTGTGTTACTCCATGGCTGTGATAGCCCAAATCTACCTTACAGTGACAGGACACGTAAGGTTGGACTTGGCAGTACCGTGGGTTTAGACTCCCTTAGCTACGTGCTTTGTGCCCTGCACAAATACACGAGCAGGAGAGGCTGTGTTCTGTACCCGGCTCCAGCACTCAGCAGATAAAGCAGGGAATTTACTCTCCAGCTACAAACTCTGAAGGTGATGCCTTTAGGCCAAGGAAGCAATTCTGTGTGGGTTTCTTGCATGCTTTTCACTAAAAATGTTTTTTCCATTGGGTGAAAACCCAGATGGGTTTGTTGCCTTCCGCTTTGAGCTCAGCTCCTGTCCCTGCTGCTGGGAACATTTCACCTTCTGTTGAAACGTCTCTCACTGAAGTTGCTCTTGAGTACCAAGGCAGTCTGCCTAGGGATGAGGGTCACACACCTACAGTCTGAACAGCGTCCCTGTAGATGCCTGATTCTGGTTAGTTTTCACTCTAAGGGAATTTTGATCTCTAAACTACCCAGAGCTGTATTAATGTAACCACTGGTCAAATGTGGGGCTGCTTTTCCGCTGGGTAGTCAGCTTTTCCTAGAGATTTTGGTTTGCAGTGTGGTTTCCGCTGCTCAGAGGACAGCCTGATGTGATGTTCCCTGTACTAGACATCTCCATGACTGAGATCTCCAGTTCTGTACCACTGTGAAGGTTGAGAACTCAGCTGTGAAGTTCTCTGCTCTCCTCATTTTTTATTTTTGTTTTGTTTTGTTTTGTTTTTAACAGGACAGAAAATAATAGTGAAAGAAGCCAGTGGGAAAGTGTCCCTGGAATGTCAAGTCCCTGGGTCAAGTCAAGTCACGTGGTCGAAAGATGGGAATATCATGGGAAACACAACACGGCTGGACTTGGGTTCAGTTTACGATGACCCCAGAGGCATCTATAAATGTAGCAGTGAGGGTAAAGCTTCGAACCTCCAGGTCCACTATCGAAGTAAGTGTTGTAAACCTGGTTTCTAGAGCTAGAATCACTTCCAGTTTTCACCCAAACCAATTTTTGAGGGAACTACTGATTTCCCTGAGTTTCCCACCAGTTCAGTTCCTGACAACTCCTGTGCTGGGTGGCCCTCGGGAACAGCAAAGCTGTGCATTCCCTTGCAGCAGGAGTCTCTGTGAGAGCTCTAAAGCCTCATTTGGTGCCGTAACCTGGCACTCATGCTGCCTCATTGCTAACCACTCGCTGGCCCTGCCATGGCCTGCCCTGAGTGCTGGGGACACATGGCAGCTTGCACCACCCCCTCGGGTCGCACAGCAAGCCAGACGAACCCCTGGTCTCTCTTGCCCTGGGACTGGAGCCTGCCTGGACTGGCAGAGCTGTCTGAGTGCTTTGGGCTCAGACTGGCAGCAGGGCAGAGGTGGCCGAGGGGCAGGATCCTGGTCATGGCCCTGTGTTCAGTGTCTGTGTCCTTTTGGGCTTCCAGTGTGCCAGAACTGCATTGAAGTGGACGCTGCCACCATCTCGGGGATCGTGGTCGCAGATGTTGTCGCCACCGTCTTCCTGGCGGTTGCTGTGTATTGCATCACCGGCCATGACAAGGGACGCATGTCACGAGGTGAGAGGATAGTCTTGTTGCCTGCGGGAAGTACCTGGCCATCTCTAGGAGCTGCGTGGTGCCTAGGGACTTTCCATCGCTTCCCACAGAGCCCAGTTATTGCAGGCAGCAGCCAGCACACAGCGTGTCTAGGGTTGGGATCCATGTAGGCACTCCCTGTACGCTTCCTGCCCCTGACTCAGCTTCCCAGGAGAAGCCGCAAATGCGCAAGGTTAACCAAAGCATCATCCTAGGGATAGCAGCTGGTGACACGGAACCAGCCGAAGGCTTTCCGCCAAGCCTGCCGGCGGAATTGAGAGCATAGAGCTGAAAGCACTCAGCTGCTCGGGTTTGTTTGCAAACGTTCACCGTACTGCCCACCACTCCCCTGATCCCTGACCACCTTCTTTCTTTCTTTAGCTTCTGACAGGCAGAACCTGATTGCCAATGAGCAGCTCTACCAGGTAAGCGTGAGCACGCACATGTGTGCACGCATGCGGTGTGGGGCTGCACGGTGGGACTGTGGCAGCACAGCTGCTGGGGGGTATTGATGGCTCGAGGCACTGAGCTATGTTGGAGACTGCTCTCTGCTGAGACTTGGCCAGCTGGGTCTCCCAGAGGACGGTGGCAGCAAGCTCAGCTGCCCCCTGCCTCTTACTCTCTGGGGTTGTTAAGCTCTGTGTGTGAGGAGGGAAAGCTTACTGAAAGCTTGGCAAAGAGAGGGCCGGGCAGATACATCTGTAGCTTTTCTCACCCTTTTTTTCCTCCTAGCCCCTTGGCGAGCGGGATGATGGACAGTACAGCAGGCTGGCACCTGCCAAAGCCCGAAAATGAAGTGGGAAGACGCTGGGGCTCCTTCCATTGGGAGCAATACTACAGGAAAGCCACTGCCAGTGCCTGAGATCACTGATACTCTGCCCTGGCACAGCCTTCGGAAGCTCACTGCTGGCAGAAGCGCGGGGTTTTGCCTAGAGAACCCTCCGCCTCTTTGCCAGGATGGGCTGCTTGTAGCACTCTGCTCTTCCCATGACACTTCTATGTTCCTCTCAATAAAGATGAGCTTTCCCATAGCCTCCCTGCTCTGTCAGTTGTGTTGTGGCCTGGGAAGCCACGCAGTTGCTGGGGAAGGTGCAGGCTTGGTGTGATCTGCCTGGATGCCCGCAGAGCCGTAAGGCTCCTGCCTGTCCTGTTAGGACACTGCTCTGCCGGCACAAGCGGGTACCCATGTCTGTGCGAGGCTCTAAATGGCATCCGAGTCCATTGCTGAAGCTGAGGATGGGGGACCTTTTGAAAGGAGAGGGCTGCCACCCCCTTCGGGAGCGGGGAGCGAGGACACCAGGAGCACGACACGCAGCAGGATCGGTGCCTCAGCCCCCTGCACAGAGCGGGGATGCTGGCAGGAGGGAGGGCAGGAGGACATTGTCTCTGCACAGGCAGGGCTTGGCCTCTAACGGCAGTCTCCAAACCGCAGAGATTTGCCAGGTCCCTGGTACCCGGCCAGCCTCCAAGTTGCTTCTGCTCGGGGAGTGAAGCACGAACAAAGCAGCAGCCTGTGCTGGCTCCCCAGGAGAGTCGTGTGAGCCAGGCCCAAAGAGGAAATGGAACCAGCAGGGAGGATGAAAACTGTGGCAGAGACTGTGCAAAACACGACAGCAGAGTTGGCCGGGCAGCGAAGACCAGAGTCAACCCACACTCCCTGCGTATCCAGTGTTCTTGGGAGGCTCCCCTGCACTCCTCTGCCTCCACAGCTCACCGGAGAGTGACTCGTCTTTGGGACCAGGCACCGGCTGAGCACAGGATGTGGTTGAGCAAACTTTCAGGGCCTTTCTCTCAACCGTCTTTCCAGACGCTGAGCAGCACTGGGTCTCCCCACACCAAGCCAGCTCTTCCTTGTGAGATCCCTGCCACCAGCTCTGAGCAGAAACAGCTAATGTGGTCTGACTATAGCCAAAATGGGAGGCAGGATCAGCTAGCAGTTAGAAACCTCAGAAACCAGGTCACCCTCCGTGTGCCACTTGCACACACCTGTAGGTTGTGTTTTTCCTGCTTTTCTAAGAATCTGTGTGACAGGCTTCAGAGCACCAGACTGTGAATTGCCTTGTGATACAGTGCTATAAAGTAAGCACCAAATGAGCTAACACTCGGTAAAAACTGACCACAAGTCCATGACACATCTGACAGCAAACATCATATAGGCTGTGCAAAGCTGCGGGTGCACCCCACGTGCCCTTACAGGAATTAGTGTGGTCAGCTTTGCAGAAAGCGAACAAGAAAGGGACCCGTTTTCCTTTGGTGTCAGCTCTTTACACAACAATATTTTGCTCTTCACCGGAGCAGAATTAATGCGTTGGAGGATTTTCCACTCTAACCTGCTCCAGGGAAGGGTGAGCCTGATATGGCTATTTCTGGCAGAATATGCCAATGCCTGTCTTTGGTCTGTAAAGGTGTCCGGCTAGAACATTTAGCTTGGTTGGACAGCCCCAGGATAAAAGTCCTCTGGGGCTGCTGGCCCAGGGGGCAATCACTATGAGAGAGGGTGGGCAGCTGTGCCAGTGGGGAGGAGAGGATGGGCCAGGTGAGTCAAATGGACTCATCACAGCATTCCTTCCCATGGTGCTCAGGATATAAGTGTCCCTGAGAAGAGCCCTGGGGTTTTGCTCTGTGCTCTGCTGGAAGGGTTGCTCCGGGTGGTTCCTCAGCTCTCCCTGTGCTGCTGCTGATCCTGCCTCCTGTTTCCCTGCTGCAGAGGAGCACCGTTCCACGGGACAGGTTTTCTTCCCCTGCTTCACTGCATGGGAGTGGTACAGTTCCTTTTCTGTGTTTTCTTGACCATTGTTGGGATTATGGGCTTAGGTGCTCCTGTCTGCTGCCAAGTCCAGTCTGAGACCTTTTTTTCTGCTTGGGACCTTGTTGCCATCTGAAAGGCATGGATGCTGTAATAACATAGTCTCTGGTATCTTTGAGCATATTTGCCTACTTGTATGTATCTTTGTATGGTTTGACATCTTCATTGTTAGTACACTTATTCTGATTTTTCTTTGTTTTCCACTGAACTGATTCAAGCTTTTTTTTGACCTCGAAGTCTCTCTCCCTGGTTCTCCTGTTATATTCCCCTAGGAGTGTAGTGGGGGGATCACAGAGAGTGTCTATCAAAGTTCAGTAGCCGGCCCAGCCTTAGCTTTGATAACCTTTTAAAAAAATGTGACCAGCAGACTGCCAAGTTTGAAGGACTTTCCTCACCATCAGCTCTCAAAGCAAGGAGCAAAGGCAGCTAATCATACCCAAAAAGCAGGAGAAAGCCTGAGCAGAGGAGATGGGTGTGCTCTGCAAGGATCAAAGGGTCAGCAGAGGCAATATTTACCACTCTGCGAGAAGCTCCTCACCACTTAACCCTTGGGAGGACAAAGAAATATTTCTGTAGAACAGCGAAGCACAGAGGCAGAGAGACGTTGCCATCGGATGAGTGCTGATTCCACTGAGATAAGGAGAGCGTGGGCTGGCACTGATTGGGGCAAACACTAGGTAAACATGCTGCCCTATAAATAGTGGCAGAAGCACCAAGATGTATCTTGAAGCAAAATTTAGGTCTTGTATACCCAGAAGGGTCCGAGCTTCTCACAACCTATTTGTGGCAACAGGCTGTGTGGCTGGGCTGAACGACCATTGCTTCAGAGGTGACATTTTGCAGAAGCTGAGAACGTAGCCCAAGTGGTTTTGGAGCTGCTGGGGGTTAGTGCTCTTTGTATCTTGAGATCTCCCTCCTACACGTTTAGTGCCTTGTATGGTAAACCCAGCTGTGCTCCTTTAAAACCACATCCTGCAGGGTAAGCACAGCAATCTGGAGCATGAAACTTGCTGGGTGTTAACCTCCCTGTGCTGAAACTCAGGGGTTAAACCACCCCCGGCCCCCATCACTGCAGTTTTCCTTTCTTCAGAGCAGTTGTTTTTCTTCAAAGCTCTTGCTCTGAAGAGCAACAGAAACGTGGCTTGCTGGGCCGGTGTTAGACCAGAAACTTCCCAGGCACCGCAGCATCTCTTGGGCCCTTAAGTTGCTGTCTGTCCCATTGCTGCTGCCCCTGCTTTGGAAACCACGGCTTCTGAAATTAGGTTTCAGGTCTGTGTGTTGAGTGCGTGAGACCTCAGCTATTTCTCTTGCCCCCAGAGAGCAGCCCCAGACCCCCTGCCCAGCTCCTGTTGACCCATGCTCTGCTCTCCTAGGCACGGCGGTGCTCTTTGCACAGTCTGCTCCCAAATCCCTCGAGGCTGCTACCTTTTCTTTAAAAGAGACAAAAAACACAGGGGAAATGTTTTTCAATGCGTACCTGGGGGTACTGTCACCCATTTTATTAACATATCATAGTTTTAAAATGCATATAAAAAAAGTTGAAACAGATCTTCAGCAGTGGCAAAGTAGTCCACCGTCTTTCTAACGAAGCCCAGGCAGAACTCCAGTTACAGAGCTGAAGTGGGAGAGAAAGGGCAGCAGCAAAGGGCAAGTCACAAGAATCTATAAGAGCAATAGCTCTGGAAAATGAAACTCTGCCAACAAATGGACTCAAAAAAATGGGTTTATCCTGGATTATCCTATAGAATACCAGTAAAAATGCAGTCCATCAAGTCTCTGGGATGAGAAGGGCAGCCTAGCAAAAGGGCTTGATGCTCTCTTGGATTTTGTAGGTCCTGGGCTTTACCTCTGTGGCCTCAATGCAATAACTTCAATGACAGTGAAGAGGCTGTTTCAGAGCAGAGCGCTAGTCCTGGGTCTGAGCCAAAGGGTCTTGATTCCAGTCTGGGAAACGTGAAAATCCCTGTTGTGCTGTCTCAGACTGCAAAGCTGACACTCCTTGCTAAGTGGTGGTTAAAATCTTAGCTGAAACATCTAAGAGCCACACTATTTAATAGCAACAAAGATTTCAGCCAGACATTTAAGTCTCTTAATAGGTGGCTTTCAGATGGCTTGGGAAGGCACCAAATCCTCATGACCCGATGAGAAGTTCTGCTGAAGGTCTCTGGATGCAAAGTGGTCATCGGTGCCAATCGTTTTGTGCGTAGCTGCTTGGCTTTCCCCAAAGCGCCCAGGCCTCAGCAGGTGTGCAGAGAACCGGTACGGAGCTGAGCGGAAGCACTTAGCCGCTCTGCTGCTGTCTGCCAGTCTGCCATCTGGGGGAACGTCAGAAGCCCCTGGATTCCAGGCCTGCATACACTTCCCGCTGACCTTTCCGGATGGGCTGTGGGAACAGCAGAGATACTAGTTCAGGAATCTTTAGTAATGCACCCTGGAACACCAGCAAGGTCTTGGTCCACACAACACATGGAGAAAACAGCCGTAATGCTGCTCTGGCGCTGTGTGCAGGGAGCTGCACTTCTGCTCCCCGGGCAGCGCCGGGAGAAAGGGTTCCACCCTCACCGCTTTTTTCCTCTGCTCCCAGGAAAGCCGGCAGGTTGACTGGATCTTTCTTTAAAGGAGGAAAACTGATAACTGCTACCAATTCCCAGCTCTGGCTATCCCTACCCAACCAGCAGAGAGAGATGGAAGAAATGCGGTTACTCCGTACCTCGTAGTCCGGGTTTGGAACGGGGGGAGGACGCTGCATCTTCTGACCTGCAACAGAGGCAAAGAAAGGTCATCTTTGGTGATGATTCGTGTAACACAGCACAAGGTACTTTTGTGTAGATGATCTCGTGGTGATATGCACTGTGGGTCAGCTCACATGGCTTTATTACAAGCTTAGAACTTTTAAAGACCCAACTGCTGCAGGCAGGAGGCCTGATCATTTAGAAGGAAATTGGCTTGCTTTTAGAAAAGGTAAATCTCTAGCTTTCCTGATGGTGAAGGAATACTTGAAAACACGAGGGTCCCTTAAGCACAGGCCCAGGCTACAGCTCCCCAACACAGGCACCAGATCTGCCCTGTGCCAGCAAGCTGCACAGGCATGAGCACATCATCACATTTCTGCTGGATCCAGTAACGTCTGAAATGGCTCTTACCTCGTGGCCGGCTGCCGGCACTAGCACCTGCCCTTCCCTTCCTGTCTTTGCTGAAGTAATAGACCAGAATCAGCACCCCGAAGGTGATGAGAAGATCCGCAACGATGATCCCTGTCACCGCCAAGGCATCCAGCTCCTCGCAGTTTGCGCACACTGCCAGGAGGAGAGACGAAGGTTCTCAGAGACAGGCGCCCTCCCTTTGTAGCAAGGAAAGCCCAGACTTTGTTTAGCCCACGGACTAAGTGGTTTTTCACTCACCTCTGGCATTCAGGTACAGCTGATGTTTCTCTGCACCTGACTGACAAGTCACATTGGCAGGAGAGCTGTCGTGGTTCTCTATAACGTACTTCCTCTCACCGCTGTCTGGTTTTGGTGCAGGTGTCTCCCACTCTATGCTGCCCTCAGTCAGGGGACATGTGATTGTCACCGTGGTTCCGGAAATCTCCACCAGGAATCCTTTATTGGAAGGTGGGCCAATGAGAAGGGAAACCAGCATTACCAGCTTCTCTGACCACCCTCGACCCCACTGCGACAGCCTGTGAAATCTTTGATTTCATGGTATCATGTCAGTTCCCTGTGTATGTCTTCTGCTCACATGTTTTCCCTTGGTTTCTCTATGCTGATTCTTTGCCGCACTAAACTGTCAAAATACCCTTACAGAGTGTTTAGCTTTGTGTCAGAGAGCCTGGCCCCCTGCCGTTCATCGTTCTGTTTGGGCATGTGCTTGCTGGTCTCTGCAAATGGCCAACCCTGCGTGGAGACCACTAACAGTAATTAGGGGCAACTCATGACAGCTGATTTTCTGATCAGTGGTGACAGCAACTAACAAACAGGAATTTATGTCCTCCTAAAATAGTGCTCGAACTCAAATATTCCTATCTGCCTTCTAGCTCTCACCTGTGAGGCATCTGCAGTCTTTATCTCATGCTAAATAGTTAGGAATACTAGTAAAATACACTTACCCTCCTGTCCTTCGTTGTCATCTGCAAAGGAGAGAGTAATAAGTGTTAACAAATCAGCCTGCTACTACCTTACTGCTTGCTTCTGTTGGACACTGCCCAACTCTGCCTGGGGATGGCTAGAAATAATCAGGACTAACTCACGACAGCTGTTTTTTCAAATCAGCTAAAATATAGGAATTCTTCCTATCCTGCAGTACTTGCAGAATTCAAATACTTCTATTTGACTTTTAGTCCTTGCTTATGAGGCATGATTAGTCTTTTTATCATACTAAATAGTTAACAATGCTGGTAAAATACACTTACCCTGCTGAGCAGCAGTTCCAGCTATAAAAGAAAGAATAATAAGCGGTAAGTAACTTTGCTACAGAAATCATACACCTTTCCCCCTTCAAAGCTATCCTTTGTAGATTCAGCGGCTTGAAAGAGATGTTTATGCTCCTCTATTTGTGCTAAAGGCATCAAAAGCATTCAGTTAGCTGAGACAGGATGCTGGTTGAAATGGAGTCTTTTCATTTGGAAGCCATTTTTAACGCAGGCTAGCACAGAATGGAAATTTGAACGACTCTCGGACCCAGTTTAGGAAACGGATTATGGCAAGTTGTGTGCCCAACGATTTTGTTTTATTTTCATGGGTCAAACATTGATAGTTTCTGCAGCAAGACCCACTGTCTTTTGCAAGAGTGTACTCACTGGAGGATTGGACCCTGGTGCTCGATTTAACGCTGCAAAGCAATTTATTGATGTGACTTTTCCCTCTGGGTAGGAAATGAGCAGCCCAGTTGAAGTCTCTGTAGCTGGCATATTATAGAAACAGCCTTTAGAAGGTCTGAATCAGGCTTGCGATTTGCTTTAAATATATTTGTTGACAAAAAATAGCAGAAGCAAGTAAAGGAATTGACCTATATTTGTGTATTCAGCGCTGTGGTCTCAGCCCAGGTAATGCTTGCTCTACAACAGCAGTTACTTTTAACAGAATTGGAGATTTGAAGTTTCACAAGACTTGCCTGGAGAAAAGGTGCTTTCATGCTTTTTTCTTTATATAAGGTGAATTTAAATTTGAAAAAAGAACAAGCCATTGCTAAACTTTTCAGTCTCCTCAAGAATAGGAGTTGGTATTTGCAGCACATCGGCAGAGTAGCAGTAGTCTTATTGTAATATATTTTGATTGACTTTCAGACTTAATTCTCACAGTTACCAGGTTCTTTACAGTCTTTCCAGACACACTGCGCTTCATCCTAAACCAGCTTTCTAAGTGCTGGTCAATTCAAACTGATAACAAGGAAATTGGTACCATGACAGCACAGTGAATATGAAGTGAAGCTATTTACCAGTGATCACAAAATGGTTTAAGAGAAGTGCATGAAGGAAGCACAAAAAGAAAATTAAAACCACAGAACCTAACAGTTCATGCTGCTGCAGACAGTGGCGCATGGAGCTCCAACCCTGCTGTGGGAAGTTTGGAGACCACATGTCTTGGCAAACCAGCTAGTAAGCAAAAATTCCCTAGGAACCTTAGGTTCTTTGCTCTTGCTTGGGAGGGTTGGATTCCCACTTCTCTGTCCCCACAGCCTCAGTGGGGAACACTCACTCTGGAGAGCAGCAGCTCCACTGACACGGTACATGCCAGTTGCAGAAGATGGGGCTGCAGGTGCTTTGCAAGACCGGTCGCATGTCCCTGGGTAGCCACCATTCTGGTCCCACGGCCACCTGGCCAGCTGTACTCACCCCCATACAACAGAAGTCCCAGGAGAGGCAAGGACCACTCCAACCTCATCCTTGTGGTCCTCCTTCTCTTGCTCTTCTCTGCCACTTCAGAGTGGCATTACTGAGGCTTGCTGTGAAACAAAAAAGGACACGTTGGCTTTTCAAGTTCCTGCTTACAGGAAAGAGGCTCAAGATTTTCTTCCCAGAATTGTGTAGAGCCACAAACTGAGCCGTGCTGGGGACACTCACTGTTTCCAGTGAAACCTGCAGGCACCCAAGAAAGGCACGGAACACGTATGATAGAATGAGCCTATGTCAGGAAGTGCGGAGGCTCAAAATGTCATGACAGAACGTCATTGATGGCAAGGAGTGGCTGCTCTGCACCGGCTCACTTCAGGTCTCAGGAGAACTGTTGTAGCTGCCTTAGAAGCAGCAGATTTGGGCTAGATTTGCCATCAGGGTCCTTCTAACAACTTTTTGAACCGAGTATTGCTGAAATTCAAACTAGTGAAAGCAACTTGACACAGGAGGGAATAAACAAAGGTACTAGAAATGCTACGAGAAGTTCAGCACCTGGAGACACCCTGTGGCCAGTAGTAGCGAGCTTGTAAGTGCCAGGCTGTAAAACCCAGTGGGTTTAGTCACTGGTGTTGCTATCTGGACTCTGATTTTGTTATTTTGCTCTAACATGACTCATTTATTCCTCCTGCCTCTTCAGGAGTGGCGGTTGTCAGCTCCTTGTCCAGACTCGACTCTGCACACATGCCGACAGGGAGGCGCGCAGGGCAGGCGGTGGCCAAGCCCTGAGCACAGCAACCCTCGCTGCGAGCCTCCCACCCGGAGCTCATGACCTGCTCCCGGCAGACACCCCACGACATGCCCTCCTCTTAGGATGGAACTTGCTTAACTGTACAGCTCTTTCTCTCCAGGTTCAGTATGGGACCGCAAAACCAGTTCTACATTTTCATGCAGCGTTCATACTTGTGTTGTGAATTGCACCTATGATAAAATCAGCTTTATTTTTTTAAATGTCTAGGACAAGCGGTAATGACTAGGGCGAAGGCTGAGGCTATTCAGCGAAAGCCTCTGTGTGGCAAGCTGCCCAAAGCAGAAGATCACAGCGTAGCAAAGCGATCCCGAAAGCCTGAGACATCCTTCCACGCACAGCCAGGAGGGGTCCAGCCCCTGTGCTCTGAGACTTGTGCCGCCGGGTCACCTTTAGGGCTTCGCGGTGCCGGTTGGGAGCATCTCTCGATGCGCTCGCTGCCTTCCCCCGGCTCTGCTGGCCCGCGTGGAAGCGTCCTGGTCCCTCTAGAGGGGGCTCCTGCCCCTTCCAAAGCGCTCGGCTCCCTCCCGCCTGCCTCGAAGGCCTAGCCTGCCCTCTCCGGACTCGCACTTGGGGCAAGCAAAGACCTCCACGCCTCCAAGGGGCTGGGGCAAGGGTCTTCCCCGGCTCTGCTTCCAGCAGGGATGCTCCACGGACCAAGTGGGAACGCACCGTCTTCCCACTTCCCTCCGCCTGAAGTGTCGCAAGGCAGCAGAGCTCTCCTGGGCTTGTCAGGGCTTTGAGGGCACTTGTCCAAAGTGGCCGATGCGAAGCCAGCCCAGGCTCCGTCCTTTCACTGGACACACAGCGTTCTGCTCCTATGTCCTTGTTTCGCCAGGGTGGAATCCCAGCCCAGCAACGGTGTGCAGGCTGTTACCCATTTGGAGAGAGCCAGGAGCTTAAAGGCTGTGAGGGGCAAAATCAGAGCAGCTGACCTGAGCTGCTGAACAGGTGTATCCAGTCCCACAAACACCGCCCTCATTGCAAAGGGGAAGTTTGCTGAGGATGGGGGCTCCTCTTGCTTCTCGCCACTCCTGAAGGGCCTTGCTTACCACTCTGCTTCTGAGGACTGCTTTGCCGTTTACTGTGATCACCGTACCTTCACCAGGCTGAGTATGACTTTATATACCATATATTAGCATTAGTATTAATATTAGTTTTCTGCTTTATTAAAGCTGTTTTCACTTCAACTCACAGGTCTCCTCTCCTCTTCCCGAGCCCCCTTCTCTGCCAGACAGGGGTCACCAGGTGATACAACAACTGCTGTAGTTTAGCCCCAGGTACAGGCTAAATGTGGAGAGCCTGCCGCAAGCATTTCAAGGGACTGCTCTCTTCCGAGTGCCTGACTTCTTGCTGCTTCCCAAGAGCTCACCATTCAGTGGTGTGGCTGTTTATAACGTTATGGGCCCTTGTTTCATTTATTGAGGTAGTTTCTTTAGCTGTCAGACCTTTCTTTTACTTACTTTACTACTAAGGGTGCCAAGGACACAGTCTTCTCTTGACAGCATGTTTTGAAGCAAGATCTCGGAGGTTAATAGAAGCCTGCGAGCAAAGATGGGAGCAGACGCTCTCCTCAGCCCTGTGCCTTACACAAATGAGATCTTAGCGAGAGACCTTAGTGCTGCTGAGTGGCCAAAGGGCAGTTGCAGCAAAACCTCGCTTGTCCTACTGGCCTCTGCCTGGGCAGCCCAAGGATAAGAAATTGGTGCCGTGCAGAAAGACAATCTTGGGAGGTGGCAGTAGCAAATCGGCCGCTGAGCACTGCCTTACAGATACTGGAAATAAACTGAAACAAAGTCTCAATTGAAACAAGTTCTGAAAAGGCAGAATTATCCTCTGTTTGTAAAACAAACCAACCAAAAACTCAGCCTAATAAATACTTAGGGTGGCAATGAAAGAAATTGAGATGTTTTGGAATAGTTACTGAGAGAGATGAAGTGAGGAAGGGTTAACCGAGGGTCAAATTATTCCCATGGCAATAGAGATATCTGGTATGCCAGAGCTATTAGCAGAGCCAGTTGGCAGAGATAAGACTCTCTGTGCCCTACTGCAGACAGTCCATGAGACTGATGGCCTCAGTGGTTTTTTACATTGTCAGCTTTGTAACTTGGAGTTTAAAAGTCAAAAATATATTCTGTATTCTCCTCAGAAATTGCTGCAAGGATGTTACAGCTGCAAATGGGAGGAGATGATAGATTCACGTGGTTGCTCATTAGCAGCAAGGCTGGGAGACCTGCTGCTGTCCTGCTCCCACTAAAACCTTGTTCTGGCTGGTCCTGACATCCTCTTGGAATGTCCCAGGTAATCCAAAACATCCCAATTGAGCCCACACTGCTGCACAGCAGGAGTGCCCTCACCCTGCTCCTTAGCTCCGAGCTGAAGGGAGCCCTTCAAAACCCCCAGCGGGAAGGGCATCCTCGCCACTTCAACGAAAATTAGCATCAGTCCCAACAAGAGCTCATAACCTGGGATGACTTTTTGGAACTGGACCCTGGGCCAGACACAGCCACGGCCACAGCCAGCAGCGGGTGCTGCTGCTAAAGTGATTCATGGTCTCCTCAAGCAAACATCGTTATTTTGCCAACACAAATGCACAACTCAGCTGCTAGCGCTGGCTAGGAAAACACTTTGTGACTTGGTACATTTCCCTAGTACCTTGTGCTGCTTGTGTAGGGTGTCCCAGGTGTGCCTGCACCACCACAGGTCTAGACGCATGTCCATGTCACTGCCTTAGGATTTTCCAAGAACTTTACGAGCACCAGTTAATGCAGTTGCCCGGTTCTTCTGCAGGATGGCTGCAACTAAGTAACATTATAACGATGCCTTCATTTTACTGTATGT